TCAGAGGGAGAAAGTATGGGGGGGGGAGTAGGGTATAAATTCTGAGCAGAAGCTGGAGAAATTAGGACAGGCATATATTGGTTGCCCCTACTGTAGATGACCACCCACACACCAGGGCCAAAACCTCGTGTCAGCTATGACATAATGTAGGCCTCTGATCCAGCTCTTTTTACTGCTTCCTCACAAGTCTGCCTTCATGCAAATATCCACAGTAATTAAAATTCTAAGCTAGAGATGATGACTGGCTTCCATCAATCTTGTTATCAGCAGATAAAAGTTGCCAGAGGAAAGCTTGCAAGGCATTTATCTCTATTTCTCTACAGACCAGTAATAGCACAATGGTATTCAGCTTCAGCCTTCCCTGATGTTGTTTTTGGAATTGTTTTGTTTAAAGCCACTACAATAAAAGCCTTCCCCCTCACACAAGCCAAGCCCTTGCAGAACATCCCACAAGACCCTCCTTCAGTGTTTAACAATGGAAAGACATAGATCCAAGTGCAAGGATTTCATTCTTCCTTACAGAGGGTATCTAAAGCAGATTTGGCTTCACGACAGTGAACTAAAATTCTTCCTAAAATTTTAGGCAGGTTGTCAGGATGTTGCCATGCAAGTATGGCTGTAACTCTAAAGCAGCGGTTCTCAACCTGTGGGACGCGCCCCCTTTGGGGGTCGAACAACCCTTTCGCAGGGGTCGCCTAAGACCATCGGAAAACACAAATTTTCGATGGTCTTAGGATAGGGCTCCCAAGTCTCACCAAATCGCATCTCTTTGTTTTTGTGATTAATCACTATGCTTTAATTATGTTCAATTTGTAACAATGAAAATACATCCTGCATATCAGATATTTATATTACGATTCATAACAGTAGCAAAATTACAGTTATGAAGTAGCAACGAAAATAATTTTATGGTTGGGGGTCACCACAACATGAGGAACTGTATTAAAGGGTCGCGGCGTTAGGAAGGTTGAGAACCAATGCTCTAAAGGATGCTATCAAGACCTCTGCTTCTACTTCATTCATGTAGAAAGTACTTAATGATTCTCTTACACTATTGCTACTCCTCATTCCTTAAAGGTAAGTGCTGCAGCATCATACATTAGTTAATAACAGCATCTTCTTGATAAGTGACACCAGTACAAAAACACCATCTCTCTGATTTGTTGAAGTGCATCAAGCAATGAAGAGAGTATGGCATGGCTAATTTTAGGAGGAACCTGAGATTTCTGGGAATAAGATTTAAGATTCTGTCACTGTTCTAGCTCTTGCTATTCACAAAGAGGCAAAGAGGAAAGCAACTGACATTATAGAGAAATTACAGCTCAGAGCACAAGGAAGCAATTCACCTCACAGCTGGCCAGAAACTGGCCAATCCCTTCTAGCCCCTCCCCTAGCAGAGGGGGAATAATTAGAGTTTCAAAGGTCAAAGCTTCAGGTGAGAGGTCAGTTGATTTGCCCGCCTCTAGAAATAAAATTTTGCTGTGTCTCTATAAATATTTAAAAGAGCAGCAGGACTGGGGGGCAGGGAAGAGAACACATTTCTCTTTATTAACTCCTCACTGGCACACACTTCCAAGCTCTCTCCCCCTTTGTTTTGTTATTTTCCTGAATTTAAACAGGAGATTTTTCAAACCCACCCACAGAGGGCTCAGGGGCAAAAGGCCACTGGGGAGTAGAGGACACTGCAATTGGGAAGAACATGTGTTTGTATTTCTTTGTGAAGGGATGCACGCACACACACGCACACATGGTATCCCTTCTCCCCCCTCCTTATCCCACTTACATTGTGCATGCCTAACACAAATTTCCATCTTCCCCTTCCTGACCTATAGTTCTACTTGCATTTAGAGTGCAAGCGTCTACTGTTGAAAAGTGACTTCATGCTGAATTTGGGTGCTACACGGTCTTCCAGAGCTCTCACGCTGCAAGGCTTGGCCATCCCTTTCTTTCGCTCGTTTTCCCACACTTTCCACCACTCATTGTATGCCCGCTGCTTTTTCTATCTGCCTATTCAGCTCAAATTAGTCACGAGCGGCCCCCAGCTTAGAGAGGAAAAATAAATTAGGTAGTGTTTTAAACACAGTTTGATTAGAATGATTCCCCCCTCCCACCGAATAAGAGGGAATGAATACCTTTTAAAAGATAGTGTCCTAATAAAAGCCTTCCCCCACTACAGGAGTGGCACAAGGCAAGGGTAAGAAATCCTAACTAGCAGTTACCCCCTAGGAGCACAGACAATGGGTAAAGGTGCCCGGATAAGGAAAGCAAGTGGACAAAAGGATTTATGATCGTATCAGTACCTGAGCCAGAAAATACAATGGATTTGACAGAAGGAATATATCTGGAAAACATTTTTATTTTAAACATTTGAACAAGAACACTGTAGAGAAATATACGTTTTGCCCATTAACAGTAAGATTCCCCCAATCCAACCTTAAATCAATTGGTTTCATATCTTTCTGAGTATATACTTACCTTTCTCTTCCAGTACCAGCTACCTTAGACTGCAGCAATTATGCTGCTTCTGTCTACATGACCCTTTATAGCTCTCTTGACAAAGTTATTCTTGGCACTGGCAACAGGTAGTGACTAAATATAGTCCTTTGCTTGGGATATAACAGACCAACAGGTAGGGAGAAAAACAACAACATGTTCTTGTCAATCTCTATGTCTGTAAGTGTCAGTCAATGAAACAAAGAATCTCCTCATACTGACTTACAATAATTCATAATCAGCAGTTCTGCAGAATAACCAACATTAATTTAACTTTAACTGGTGTAATTACCCCTGGATAAAAATTAATCCTAAAAAAGAAAGAGTAGCTACACTATTCTTAAACAGATGGCAAGGCTGAGGTGTAGTTATATACGTTCTAGTAGGCTGCAGAACTCTTGGATCCTATCTACAAAAATGTCAAAAATTTGAGATACTCTAGAAAAGTTATTTTCTGATTTCTGATTATCTCAGTTGTCCAAATAAGATGCATTTTTCTAGCCTCTTTCTCGACAGTGATTTTCAGCTCCATTGACAATGCTCCTGTGAAATACAAAGCAAAGACAAGCTAAAATGAAAAACGCCACCAAAATATCAAGCTTCCTTTGCAGACCAAAGCCTATTTATTAAGTGAAGTAAAATTCTTCCAAATACCAAACAGTAAGATGGACTTCTAACATGGATAGGAATGTGAGGAACCATTGTCAAGGACTCCATATGTCCCTTAGACAAATTAAGGGTGCTCAGAATTACTTAATGTGGATCAGGTCATCTTAATCGTCCTTTCATAGTCAACCATCAAAGTGGTTAATGAGTAGTAAGAATGAATATTCAAGCATGCTTAAATATAGAACCAGGAGGCAGTCATTATCTGCAATAAATTAAACTGAAATAAAAGGACATGATTACATGTACATACATGTATTCACCCTGGGCCTTCGCTTCATGACTGCAAAACCAGACTATAAAAGAAAAATGTATGATGATAAAGGCACTGAAGACCGAGATTCTTCAAGGGTCTTTTTCACAGCCAGCTATATAGCAAGGACAAGATCAGATCCGCAACATCAGTTAAATTTTATTGTGAATATAGCTATTTACATAATTATTCAGCTGTAACTGAATTTCTCTTCATGATCTGTAGGAACCTGAGTAGCTCCTCAAACGCTTTAATGAATATTCCTTTTTATCTTTATACATATGGCCAGGGGTATGGATATATCTCCTGCCAACCTAGCAGTTCGAAAGCAAGAAATTGCAAGTAGATAAATAGGTACCCACTTCAGTCGGAAGGTAACAGCGTTCCGTGTGCCTTGGTGTTTAGTCATGTCGGCCACATGACCACGGAAACGTCTTCGGACAGTGCTGGCTCTTCGGCTTTGAAATGGAGATGAGCACCGCAACCCTAGAGTCGGACTCGACTGGCTTTTGAGCAAGGGAACCTTTACCTTTAATGGATATATATTTAAGAGAGAATAAGTTCTCCCAGTAGCTACTGTTCTGCCTCACCAGGGCTGAGTTCCATACCTGGTGCATCCATTTGCTCCCCTTCTTTGCTCCTTCCCCCTTTGGAGCAAACTTCATTAACAAAAAACACCATAATGTATAAAAGAAATCCTGTAACTGTATAAAATATGGTGAGGTGTTTAAAGTAAAATATCGTGTGGAGGATTATCTAAGTTCAAGCACAAGGCAGACATAGTCATTATTGGTATACTTAACAGTTCAGTTCCCTTTGTGACTTTATGTGCTCATCATCGGATTAAAGCACAAAAAGACACATCTGGTACCCTTGTCCATCAAAGAGGCAGGTACAAGTATTGCCTTGAAGAAGCAGTTTTATTATGAAACCAAGAACAAAAGGCAGTTCTGGTTTCAAAATACACTACAAAACATCTCAAGCAAGTAACTAAACCACCGACATTTGATAAGAGAAAACACATATAAAAATCAACATACAAAATAAAATCAGAATAAAGTTAAGAATATGCATTTTTAGAAGTTGGGGTGTTAAACTGATATCAGATGACCCCTGGATCTAGTGGCAAATTAGCGTATTGCTCTAAGATGGTATGAATAAAGCAGAGTATAACACTTTGGAATAGCTAATTAAATGCACACAGCTGAAATATACATAACATATAAAATTAAAAACACAGCTAATCATCATTCATAGCTGTGTTTAGCCTACTCCATATACAGAAACTGTGTGATAAACAAGGAAGAAATTTCAATCCTTACAGAAAACAGATTAGAGCCGAAACAGAACCAACTCAGACTAAAATCCAACCAATGACAGTCTAAAAACCAGGAGCAGCAAGAAAGCATACCTTTGGTATGCAGAAGATTTTAGAGGGTGAAATGTATCTGTAATATTAGCTAAACAGTGTTTGGTCTGGTGGTTGAAGGTGCCATCAAATTGCAGCAGACTTATTGCGACCCCTTAGAGTTTTTGAGGCAAGAGATGTTCAGAGGTGGTTTGCCATTGCCTAGCTCTACACAGCAACCATGGACCTCCTTGGTGGTCTCTCATCCAAATACTAACCAGGGTCAACCCTGCTTAGCTTTCAAGACCTGATAAGTTCAGATAGTATGAGCCATCCAGGTTCACGGCATGTGGTTGGTCTACATAAACTGACCAGGTTGAAGTTACATGTACCTAATACGTAATTCAAAAAGAATAGATTTCTGTTCTTCTGCCACCATCGTCATCTAAATCCTTAACATTTCCCTATTTAAGTCTATTTTGTTGAATTATGTATAACTTAAAGTCCCTTGTAGTAAATGAGATGCAACAATATGAGATGCTTACCCCAACTCACTATATTAAATATAAACAACAATAATGCAAATGTAAGCTTTAGCTTTTTCCAAATGGCACCAGAATCATGGAAGAAATAAGAAAAATATAATTTGAAAATTAAGCTAAGATGCTTAAAAGAAACTCTGAACAACATTTCATATTACAATAATTTATTCCATGGTTATCATTCTTATAGTGATCTCAAACTACTTCTTCGGAAAAAGGAAATTCTTTCATTTTATGGCAAGTAAAAATGAAAGACAAAAACTTCCTCAAGCCTTCTAAAATACCATTAGCAATAGCAATAAAGCACCTCTGGTCAGCCCTGGTTAGTATTTAGATGGGAGACTACCAAGAAATTCCAGGGTCACTAGACCACCTCTGTTAGTCTCTTGCCTTGAAAATCCTATGGGGCCACCATGAGTCAGCTATGACTTGATGGCATTTTACATACACACAAAGCATCTCTGACAGTCTGGCTATCACTGGTTACTAAATCCATTAGCTTTCTTCATCCTGGGCTGCTTTAAACTACAGCCATGCACAGTCATTAAATTAATCCCATTCTGTGGGCCAAAAATATCCTTTAGTATACAGACAGCTGCATAAGGTACAAAAAGCATGGCTTATAGTTTATCTGGTCACTATACAAGACCCTATGACAGACCTGAGATACTACTTCATAAGACCCAGTGTAAGTGAACTTGTGGCAGAACCCAAGAAAAGAAGTCCTTTGGTTTTGAACATAAAAACGGTGGAAGGGAGAAAGAAGAAGGCTAGTACTTAGCCATAGGCAATAGGAAAAATGAATTAAGAAATGAATGTGTAAGGAAAATTATAAGGATGGGTACAGGCTGTGCCTGATTTAAATACTGTTGGCTAACTTCAATTCGAGCTAATGATGCATCAGAAATCTTCATATTCATTCTACTTCCATACTCAGTGATTATTTTTTATTTTATGTAGTAGTTTCTACCTGTACAAAAGAGGAGAAATAAGTTGGAGATTTTTACACGCCTCTTTACACAGGCATACACTGAATACAAGTGGCTGATCAGAGAAGATGACAGAGAATTCAAACTGTTGCATACTCAAAAAGGACACCTTTATTCTATACTCCAAAACATGTTTCATGTACAAGTCCAAAGGGGAAGGGCACAATTGAACTGCTAATTTTAAAATGCAAAGCCAACATCTCTGTGAGGAAGAAACCTGTATTTCTTATTAGGTATGCAGAACAAGAATGCGTAAAAGACACACCCCAAACAGGTAAGCACTAAGACGAGGATCAGACGAGGCCAAAACGTTCTGCTCTTTTTCTTTTCTTTGCCTGCAAATAGGAATTAAAAGAAAGGTGAAATAAGACAAAAGGGAATGGCAAACTGTGAGCGTGTGTTTTAGCACATGGGAAGCTAGAGGATCTACAATGAGTGCCACACTGTTAGTTCAGGAAAGTATTTTTCATATCACATTTCACAAAGGTCACCACATCTGCAACTGGGCCTCCAACCAGAGTAAGAAATTAAATTGTAAAAGCTCAAGATATGGTGGCCTGGTGGTTGCTTCATCTTGCTGGGTTATACAAGAGCGCTATGCTAGGAACAATGACCACTTTAGAGGCCTGGAAAGCCTTCCAGGCAATGGGGAGGTGGGAAATGTAAAAGGCCAAAGGGTTAACACTCTTCTATTCATGGGGAAAGTGAGAGGGACACAGTCAAATGCATTAAATATACTCATGCGTCTCTGAGATATGCCTCTAAGTCAATACACCAGGGGCATATAAATCTTAATTTTTACCAGGATAAATAGCTTGGGGGGTAACAGAAGTCCTAATCAAGAATCTCCAGGGGAAAGGTGCCGTTCAGCATACACAATACGAGAAAAAGACCTTTTTGTTTCAGGCAGTCTCCAAGTGACCTAACGGAAAAGCATGGAATCCCTCAGACCAGAGCCCAAACACCCCCTTCACTCAAACTGAACAGGGGGATCATTCTACAGCTACTACTTCAGTTTGTAGAGCAGTGCTTGCACAACATCTGGCAAAAACAAAAAGCACCAGGCCATATCTGAACCCTATACAAGATGCTAAGAAAATAAACTTCCTGTCTGTACTACCCAGGATTCATTCAAGGAATGGGGTTCAGATACCCGAATATTGCTTCTCTTTCAGAGGAAACATCAACCCACAGCAAGAAATCCTCCTGTGTCAGGGACTATGGCTCAATACCAATCACAATAAGCATGCGTACACAAAGAACTAACGTGTTGGAAAACAAGGATCTAACTAAAATTAGTTTGTGATAAATTGTTCAGAATGATGAACCAGAAGACCCACAACGAGATAACCAGTTGGGTTGTAAAAGCTTACAAAAGCAGTAACTGATTGCTCAAAAAATTATTTACAAAAATGAGGAAAATACTCAATAAGAAGGAAAGCAATGTTAGATTCTAGTTCTACTGTTTTGTGATCCTTTCAAGTGCTAGCACTATTACAGTTCTAAGATGAAACTCATAGCAAATGTAAAGAAATGATTCGAGCTCAATAATACAGATTTTACAAATTTAAATCAAAGACAGTGAAAAACTATCACTCCTTCTCCCCTGCCAATAGTTTCAGTAAGGAGCTTTTTAGCTGCCTTGGAAGGAGATAGTAAGAACATAAGAACATAAGAGACGCCAATGTTGGATCAGGTCCTTTTATCCCATGATTTTTGAGCTTACTTAGGAGCCTTTGATGAGGAACTTTATCAAAAGCTTTCTGAAAGTCAAGGTAAACAATATCTATTGGATCCCCCTTGTCCACATGTTTGTTCACCCCCTCAAAGAACATTAACAGGTTAGTGAGACAAGATCTTCCCTTAAAGAACCCATGCTGAGTCTGCCTCAATAGGTTTTGTTCATCTATGTGCCTACTAATTCTTTCCTTAATAATGGTTTCCACCAATTTACCCGGTATCGACGTCAGACTGACTGGCCTGTAATTTCCCGGATCTCCTCTGGAACCCTTTTTAAAGATGGGAGTGACATTTGCTACCTTCCAGTCCTCAGGAATGGAGGCAGATTTTAAGGAAAGATTACATATTTTTGTCAGGAGATCCACAAGTTCACATTTGAGTTCTTTCAGAACTCTCGGATGTATGCCATCTGGGCCTGGTGATTTATCAGTTTTTGAGTTCTCTATCAGTTTTAGGACCTCCTCTCTCGTCAGCAGGGCTGGCTCACCCACTAGGCGAACTAGGCATTCGCCTCGAGCGCCGGGCCATGGATGGGGCAGCTGGCCCTGGATGGGGCGCGGAACTGTGCCCCCCCGCCAAAAGCCCATGCGCCATTGCTCCCAGCCACGTCGCATGGGGGGGGCGAAAGGGGAGTGCAAGGTGAGCGCCGCCAGTTCAGGGAGCCACTGCTCTTCCCTGCTCTGCCATCGAGGCAGCTGCGTCCCCAGCCAGCCAGCCCCACGTCCCCCGCCCCTGAGCACCGCCAGCTGCCGCAGCAGCTTCCTCGGTGGCAATGGCACCTCTCAGACTGGCCTGTGAGGAACTGCCACGAAGCTGGGCACTGCTGCTGGAGCTGGAGACCCTGTGCCATGAGGAGCACCCCCCACCGCGCTGGCCCCAGCTCTACCAGCAAGAGGCGCGCAGCCTGCAGGTGCTGCTGTAGGCTGAGCGGGGCGAGCAGGCGTGCCTAGAGGCTGAGCACGACCACCTGCGCCAGACCTGCAGGCCGCGGACAGCTGCACGAGTGCTGCACCCAGGACGCTGAGAAGACGCTGCACCATGGCCGAGGAATGGTACCGCTCCAAGATCGCCTTGGTGGCCCAGCTGGCTGGCTGCAACCAGGAAGCTGTGTGTACCGGCTCCAGCTGCCAGCCCACTCGGCTGAGATTGAGGCCCTCTGCGGCGGCGGCGACTTGCTGCACAGGCAGCTGAAGAGCCTCGACGAGGAGCAGAGCGCCCAGGTGACCTGTTTCCAGGTAAGAGGGGTGCAGGGGACCCAGTGGGGAGGCTGCAAAGTCAGGGCAACAGCTCGCTCCCCGCTTCCCTGCAGGATGGGCCTTTTGGGGCAGCTGAGAATAGCCGATGGCCCGTTGCCGGTGTCTTCAGGCCTTCCTTTTCGACCCTCCTTATTCCCCACACCCCACTTGGACTTCAGCTGACCCTTTTGCCCCACAGCATGCACCCCTCTGCTTGCCTGGGGACTTTGAGGGAGCCCCAAGAGGTGGCCAGCTGGGAGATCTCCAGGCCCCACCTGGAGGTTGGCATCTGCGCTGAGGGGCACCACAGGGCAGCCTCGCCTAGGGCACAAAAACAATTTGAGCTGGCCCTGCTCGTCACCTCAATCTGACTCAGGTCTTTCAACACCCCTCCCGAAATCAGCGGTTCTGGAGTGGGCAAGCACTTCTCATCTTCCACAGTGAAGACAGAGGCAAAAAAGGCATTTAGCTTCTCAGCCATTTCCCTATCATCCTTCAGTACTCCTTTTACCCCTTGGTCATCCAAGGGCCCCACTGCCTCCCTGGCTGGTTTCCTGCTTCTAATGTATTTGAAGAAAGTTTTATTGTTGGTTTTTACGTTTTTTGTCATATGCTCCTTATATTCCCTTTTTGCCTGCCTGACCACAGACTTGCATTTTATTTGCCATAGCCTGTGTTCCGTTTTATCAGCCTCACTGTGACTAGCTTTCCACTGCTTAAAGGAATACTTTTTACCTTTTACAGCTTCCATTACTTTGTTTGTTAACCATGCAGGCTTTTTCCTATACCTGTTTGTGCCTTTCCTAACCTGCGGAATATTTTTTTTTGCGCTTCTAGGATCGTTGTTTTAAATAGTTTCCAAGCTTCCCCAATGGTTTTGACCCTTTCTACTTTTCCTTTCAGTTTCCTCCCCACATGTCCTCTCATATCAGAGAAATTACCCCTTTTAAAGTTAAAAGGGGTTGTGTGAGTCTTTTTGGCCAATTCCCTATTTATATAAATGTTGAACTCAACAACATTATGATCACTGTTCCCAAGCGGTGCAATCACTTTTACATCTCTCACTAGGTCTTGAGTGTTACTTAGGACCAAATCAAGTAAACCATACATCCAGAGTAACATTACCTACTTCTTCTACACTCTCTCACCCACCCATCCAAATTAATGGAAAGAAAGCTGTGTTTGCTGACCCAGATTCAAATTAGTTCAGCCATGAAGCTAACTTGTAGGTCTACTCTACTCATGAGGATAGGACATAAATCCCACATGATAAAAATTAAGACAGTGATAAAATATAAATAAATAACTAGCACTGAGGCAACAGTGACCTGATATATCGCCTTTGGAGACAAAAAGCAGCAATTTTCATTGTCATCATAGATGGAATATCTGTATGGCCACCGAGGCCCATTTAGGGACCCAGAAGGTGAGCGAAGTCACAGGGTAGGGGACGAGAAGTGCAGAAAAGAGAGACAGTACCATCTTGTGGAGTGCTTGGCATTCTTAACAATTTGTGGAAAACATTCCTAACTGCTACTCAGACCATTATAAAAACAGAATATCCCCCATCTTTACCTCTGTGTCCTCTGTGGTTCCTGCCCCGGCTGAGCTTGTTACAATACCAAATCTCTCCTTTCTCTTTTTGAGCTTCTCATCATCTTCAGTCTATTAAAAAAGATGGGGAAAAAAAATTCAGTTGTTTGTGAGATCCATTTAATTGCTGATTCACTTTCTTTCTTTGCTCTCTCCACGTCTTACAATGTCATTTAGCGGAAGTCCGTTTTACAAGACTGCATAGGTAGTTAGCTCTCAGAACCAGATGCTTACCTAAATAATAAACTGCTATCAACTTCCAGAGAGACTATACATCTATTAAGTCTGTGATGTAAAGCAAGCCAGATCTCTCTATTTTATTTTCCTATGTTCAGAGTTGCCCAAAGGCTGTGCCTTCTTTGGTATTCTCCTGATATGTAATGCATGTGTACATTACATATCTCATACATACATAATTACATATTCATATACAACTGATTTTTATCTGCCTGTTTCTGCTATAGTCTCTTTAACTGGCCCTGCTTATAATGGATTTTATGCTGGTGATATTTATGTCTTGGTGAATTATAGTTGTATCTGGTTTTTACTACAGCTTCAACTAGTTTTAAATCGCTTTAACTGTTTTTATTGCTGCTTTTTGATTAAATTTTAAGTTTATTTTTTATTGTTCTATCATGCAGTTGTTCTAAGCTGGTTACATCAAACAGTTATCTGGAGAGGTGGCTAAAAGTAATGTACCTACCTACCTATATAGCCCCACAAATTATTTTTGTCAAGAAACACTTTTCTCCAGTCACTTTAAACACTTGACGACTACTTCTTCCTTTTCTCTCCCCTGCTGCTCCTCACTTCACTCCTGTTGTTGTGGCACGTCTTGGCCATTAAAAGCTGGGAATGACATCTGGCTCTTTCTACCTGGAGAAACACTATGATGTCTGCATGTGTGCATTCCTTTTCTCTCTTTTTCCCCAAGAGTTACAGAACCTGTCATCCTTTAGAGCAAATACGAAAGAGAAGACAGAGTGCAAACATTTTGACATCACTGTGCTGTATCTTTCTTGGACACAAGAAGCAGCACTATCTCTCCTGATTTAAAGGACCACAACAGACACATGAAGCATTATACCTGTATCTGTAGTGGGGTATGGGAGGGTGCAGCTTGCCTGACTCAAATGCTACACACACCAGATGAATGACAAATTACATGGTTGATTTATAACAGGCAACTTACTATAAACGCTTTATGGGTCAAAACTAGCACTTTAAATTTTGCCTATAAGCCAGTAAGATGCTGAGTACTGTTCAACGTCACCACCCAACCTAGGATCACCAAATATCCACTGCAATGATCAATACCACCTTGACACCATTGCTTTAAAAGAGAAAGCTAACAATTTCCTCACTCTAAAACAACGCCTGAAGTTGAATGCAACAGACCAACCCTAATAGGTAGAAATACAATATAGAAATAAATTCATGTTCTTGCATTTGCAGTCATGCTGGCTCAGACTAAACAAAATGTAAAATATCTATACATACATATAATAGCTAACAGAGAAAATCAAAACAAAGTCATGCAAATACCCTGGACTGGATTAAACATTACCAATCCCTTCAGGTGGAACCCCTCCATGCATTTTGCAATGCTGTCCACAGGTTTCAGGGGACTCCTAAGAAGAATTCTGAATATAGTGTGTGTGTGTGGGGGGAGTTGTATTGGTTGGGAAGAACGGGCAAAGCTTCCTCCCAGAAGTGCACTTCCACAATAGAAAATGGGTACTGGATCTAACTTTCTGTGTCCAGTACCATGTACAAAAGAAGTGTACAAGAAACCAAGCAGTTGGTGTGAATTGTTCCATCTTAATTAAGAGTATGCTTAACTCTGCACGGGTTGTCAGAACTCATAAGTATAAAGAGGCAGAGCATTATTACTTTGGTACAGTGTAAAGGATTAGAATGCAGAACAGGGCTAGGAGACCCAGGTTCAAATTCCACTCTGCCATAAAGTTCACTGGGTAAACTTTGGTTATTCACTATCCCTCAGCCTAACCTAGCTTCTAGAGTTGTTGAGAGTGACATAAAATATGACATATTTACATTCTAGTCTATAATCAATATGCTGATGACACCCAGCTCTATCTGATGTTGGGCGACCAGTCGGACTCCGGTCCCGATGACCTAGCACGGGCGTTGCAAGCCGTGGCTGGTTGGCTCAGACTGAGTCGGTTGAAACTAAACCTGGCAAAGATGGAGGTCCTTGGCCTGTGTCGGACCGGTCGAGAGTTGGGGCATCCTCTTCCGACCTTCGGTGGGGTACCATTGGTGCCCATACAGGAGGTTAGGAGTCTGGGTGTGCTCCTGGATTCCTCCTTAACGATGGAGGCCCAGGTGGCGGCCACTGCTAAGTCAGCCTTTTACCACCTGCGGCTGGCGCGGCAGTTGGTTCCCTTCCTTGACTGTGAGGACCTGGCCA